ATTAAAAAAAAATTGAGGTGACATTTTCTTGCAGTTCAATTCTATCTTGCCACCATACGCAATATTATCAGCATCGCTGATTATATTGAATGTGTAAATTTACTCAACTCTGAACATACAAATCTCCTATGTTCAATTTTTAAATATACAAGTCAAATACCCCTTAAAATATGCAACTAATCTTACCTACTTTCATCTACTTCATCAAATGTTTTTCAATCAACATCAATACCTCAATTAATCACATAGATATTCCGATAAGAAAATTCCGCTCATTGGCCAATTCACAACATAAAGTGCAGCCAATAAAGATTTTTACTTTGAGAAAAATTCGCCAAAAAGTTGGCTTGCTCACAATGCAATTTGACGATCACTCCTAGGAAGTTTCACCTAGGAGGCCGCTCGAGTTAATTTGGCCTAGGGGTTATTTAAATATTACAAATAACAAATGGTTTACAAAAATAACAGAATGTGACCCAATCCAATTGTTTCTGATATAGCAAAGAGAGTTGTACAAGTGAAATGTTTGTGTTGCCTTTCATTTTGGAATCAGGTTTCGCAGCCACAAATAGAAATTAGAAAAAATGTGTTTGAAAAGGTTCAATTTACTAAAATTTGATGTCATTTGATCAAGTGGCCTTCTTTTGATAAGGCTTTAAAGGTGGGTTCATCCCAAGGTTAGTAAAGTTAATAGGTTGCATGGTAACTTTCGGCCAATAGGGGACCACGAGCGTGTGACGTAACTTTGTGCACATCCATTTTAACAGCTAAACACTGATTTTCAAAATTTTAATTAATTCCTCCAGTTTTGGATATTTTCTATATTAATTGCGTTCTTTCAAGAGGTACATATATAAGTTATGATAACATACATACATTTCTGTGTTGCGATGTGTGGTTATGAACATTTACATCAAAGTTGAAAGTGGGAGTATGTTTCCTTTTACTCCTAAATTGTTATAAAAAATAAAAACAAAGCCGTTAAATGACGTTTTTTATAAAGTTCTATGCCTATTACCTTTTAGGATATGTCAAATTGCTAACAAAGTGTCGTAGTTTCTAAAAAAAACACTACAGACAGGAAATGGTTTTCTGACCACAAAGGCTAGTGTAATTTATGAAACAAGACTTACAAATACATAAAGCAATTCTACCCGAGTACCAGCACGGAATCCTCTTTTCCTGGCATATTGTAAAGTATGAGAAAGTGAGCGTTCACATATGTGAATCACAGTCGGGTAACTGATCACATTAAATTAAATACAGTTCAATGGCTGTCACTTGCACACTGTGACGTCATTCGTACTTCGGCCCCCTCTCTTCGTTATGGTTGCTAGTAGTTACCATGCAACCTATTAACTTTACTAACCTTGGGTTCATCCGTTGCGTTGATCTGTCAAACGGATAGTACATTTTGTTAAGGTTCAGAGCAATCCTACCAGTAAACTCAGTAAACTTCATTAATGTATCTCAATACAGAGTCTTCATAAAATCACCTCGCATGTTTGTCTACATGGTCAGAAAAACTGCATATTCTATCAATCTAAAATTTGTTTAGTTTTCAATGACATCAGAATTAGTGTTGAAATATTCATAATTCTAACCTAGAAATGAAACAGAAAGATACTGGTGATAAAGAATATACTCATTTGCAAATATGGCCAGCCAGTATATACATAGAGCCCCAAATGCAGACATCTTTTTAGTAATGCATGATTTGGTCATAATTATCAAAAATGTTAACTCTACCTTTTCTTGGTCAGATTCATTACTTGAAAGAATGTTAATCTGTTTTGTAGGAGGAGGTGGAGGTGTAGAAATATTCCACCCAATATTTGCAGGGATGATCACAGAACTGCTAGTAATTCCCAGAGTAGGACTTTGCATAGCGCTGGAAACTGAGCTCACACTACTCGAAGATGTATAGCCTGTATTAAATTGCCAGCCAATTGGGCGACCGAGGGGCTGGTTAGTTTTGCTTTGAAATAAATTGTTTAGCAATGGCGAAGGTTGAGTATGATATTGCCTCATTTGATATTCGCGCAAGATATTCGCAGTTGGATTGGGCAATTGTTTTCCATTGACCGACCTAAAATGTAAGCGTAAATTAAGATTTACTTTAGTTTAGTACTCACATATTGGGTCCATCATCGTAAAGGTCTAAAATGCTGCTTGATGGAGGGCTAGTGAACGATATTAGATCTGCAGTACTTTCATCAGATGTAATAGAAGTTGTGCTATTTCGACGTTGCGATGATGGAGGTGGTGCAATTATTGAATTTGCAGGGCTGGTACTTGTTGCACCAGGTCTAGGTCTAGATTTTATATGATGTCGTTCGGGTCTGGCAGGACCGCAGTCCGATTCATTCATAGACGATGTGCGCAAAACTAAAACAGAAATACATTAATCTCCATTTTGCTACTTTGTCATCACATACCTGAAGTATTTTTAATGATTTTCGTTCTAGTCGAAACATTTTTTGTGGATATGTTGAGTTCCTGTAAGCGTTTTTGGTTTCTAAATTGTTCCAACGCCAATGACTCCAGGCTAAGTGCCTGTGCACGCTCCAAGTCCTCTTGAAATTGTTTTTCATAATCTACATTCTCAGTTGCCATCTAATAGGAATTTAATTGTTATTAATTGAGGAAAAACTAAGCCTAATGTCAGAAAATCATTAGAGGATTGACCAACATTAATTTTTGTATATTGTTACAGAATTCACCTACCTTCCCATATGTCTTCACGACTACCTACTCTTTCGTGTTCATTTTAATTGTAATTTATTATAATGGATATTGATTGAATAAAAAAATTAAACTATAAACATTATCGTGTCAAATAATCAACAAGTCAATTTAACCTAAATTTCCTATTATCATTTACATTTATTGCATACATCACACAACTGTTGCTATATTCAGCTAAAGGAGGATGACTAAATAAGCAAGGTGCGTGTATTAAAAAAAGAAAGATGATCTTATATACAGTGAACGCCCTCAAAAACGAATAAAATAGGACGAACATGAATCGTTCATTTTTGAAAATCAGTACTCAGTAGGCTGTACTATTTGTCCCCTAGAGAGTGAATACGTAACAATCGCTATTGATTATCAGCAAAAATTAACTTAGAGATGAGATTAAGGTATAGCTGTTGAAGACTGGACCAACACTTTGGCCAAGACATAGAGTAAATAACGTTTACTCTATGACCAAGATCAAGATCATACTTATAGTATTCTTTTGGAATGATTTTTATGAATTAAGTTATTAAGAGACGAAAGCCTTTAAAGTTTAAACTAAATCACTTCCTTACGAAATTGTTGTTTCTGCCTCTTGGAAATGGGAAGAGATTTCACGTTTTTTTTTCGCAATCGATACTCGATAGCTAATTATTATTACGTCTGCCTCTCGGATCAGTAAGTAGATGGCAATCAACCGTTTGAAATACATTATCCTGACATCTGTGGTGAGTGGTGACCCCTATTGTGTTAGACGACACACCTTACATTTGAAAAAATGGTAGTATGTATGAGAAAAATACGAAATGCTCTGTGTATACAGCAGTTGTGATGTCTTCGGTTTCGACCGTTCTGCGCAGGTGTCGACGAACAGGGATTTTCGTAACGAAGCTTGACTTTTGAAAAGTGTATTTACAGGTAGTGAGAGATTCTATCCTGCATATTAGTATACAGGGTGTTAATAACGGGCGATCAAAAATGAGTTGCTGTCGAGTCGCTTTTGGAAGTTCAAGTTAAATACGATTTTCCCATGTAAACAAAAGTTCCAAATGTGACTCCACAGTAACTCATTTTTGATCGCACAGTACTAAGTAGTCATTTAAAGAAACAAATTTTCTTAGTTTCAATTTTTGATTTGGTGTCCCCGTTCTTTTGTTTTCGATAAATTTATTTTATTTACTATTATATTACTATTGAAAATAAATAAGGATTTTCATAACTATTTTTTAGCTCTCTAAGATATTTGTATTTATGATTATTATTTATTTTTTCAAGTAAATTAAATAGGGCCGATCAAGAATTAAAAAAAAAGAATTTTTGAGAACCACCCCATCTATGTTTGAAAGCAAAAAAATTATCAAAGCCCTACACTAGGTACTACAACATTTGTTATAAACATTTTTCAATTTCGATTTCCAAAATGGCCCCCTTCGCAGGATAGATTGAAAAAAAATCTTTAGGGCAAAATAGTGTAGTAGATAGTATAGGGGTTTTATACATGTTTTACTTTCATGTTTTTAATGGCGATGCTTCGTAAATGTTTGTTGTTAATTTTTGTTATTGAATGCAGATAGTAATCTTTGGTGGGTGGCGAAGGGGTGGGCTCGGGTGAGATGGGATGGAAATGGCGAATAGGGGGAACGGGTAGTGAAGGGGCGGGACCAGGTGGCGAAGAGGTGGCATCGTGTGGTGAAGGGGTGAGATCAGGTGGGGATGGGATGGGAATGAGTGGAGATGGGGTGATAATGGGGTGCGATTAGGTGGCGAGGGCGTGTGATTGGGAGGCGATCGGGTGGTGAAGGGTTGGAATCGGGTGGCGAAGGGGTAGGATTGGGTGGCGATTGGCGAAGGGGTGGGATCTGGTGGCTAAGGGGAGAGAACGAGTGGCGATGGGGTGTGACCAGGTGGCGAAGGGGTGGCATCGGGTGGGGATGGTGTGAGATTGGATAGCGAAGGGGTGGGATCGGGTGGTAAATGGGTGGGATCGAGCGGTGAAATGGTTGAATAGGGGGGCGAAGTGGTGGGATCGGATTGGGATCGAGTGACGATAGGGTGGGAACGGGTGTCAATGGGGTGGGATCGGGTGGCGAAGGGATTTAATCACGTGAGATGGTGTGGGATCGGGTGGTAAAGGGTTGGGATCGCGTGATAAAGGAATGGAATTAAGTGGCGAAAGGGTTGGATCGGGATCGGATGGGATTGGGTTGCGAAAAGTTAAGATCGGATGGGGAACTGGTGGCAAAGTGGTGAAATCGGAGGGCGAAGTGTTGGGATTGGTTGATGATCTGATGGGATCGGGTGGCGAAGGGGTGTGATCGGGTGGCAAAAGGTTGGCGAAGTGTTGGGATCGGGCGGCGAAGGGGTGGGACTGCGTGGTGAAGGGGTGGGATCGGGTAGTAATAACAGTGTTAATTTTCAAATTATAGAGATACTATTCGAAAGATAGAATAGAAAGAGCAAATTACAGACAATCTTTTATATTTGAATTAAGCAAACTTTAATGAAAAGATCGAGTTTGAAATCTTTTATCAGTAGTGCCTTCCTTTGTAACCATTCCGACGCTTTTCTTCACTATTTTTCCTATCGGTTCTTGCCGTGGTACCCTATACGTCGTTGTTTGATCCATGATCGGAGGACAACCTTCCTTTACTAATCTCGCATCTTTATTCGTAATTTCTGCACAAATTAAATGCTTGCCGTGTTTTTTCCCATCCAACTCTTCTACGTCTGATTGCAGAATGTCTAACAAACTTCCATTAATTGCAGTTTGGCTACTTAATAGTGGATTATCGGCTCTTATCTGGTTTACAACATCTGTAAGACTTTTGTTCTTGGAAAAGCGCCCGTGACCTTTTTTAACACACTTTCGACATTTACTTAATGCCGACTGAATCAATTTGGATCGCTTCCTGTCTTCACCCTGAAATAATGTTTTAGCGGTTAACTGTAGCTAATACATTTTGTTACTATACGTACCTCAGCGGACGTTATTGCGTTAGTGAGAAATTTCTGTATGTCATTAGGGTCTCGTTCAATGTACGGGGGCATGTTCTGCATGTTTTTAGCTTTTAAAGATGCCAAACTGAATAAAGCCATCATGCTGTCAGATGGTAGGTCGTCTGTATCCCTATCTAATGCAACTGTCCGACTTTCACTATCCTCTATAACTATGGATTGATTTGATTCGAAATTACCAAAGGAGGTTGACGGAAAATCTTTACCACTTCCTGCTTCACTGAATTCTCCCGTAAGTAATTGTTCAACGCTTTCCAACTGATCATTTTCCTCGCCACTCGTTCTCTTCGCGTACTTTGTCCAAAATGAGGTGGTTTCAATACATTTAGTGCACACCTCGCTTCCACCTTGCGACTGAATCAAGTTGGTGTAAGATGACCGTATTAGATATTTCGCTTTAGGATCTAGTGATTTATCATGATCCACTCCACTTGATTCATAAACGACCGTTAAGCTGCTCCCTTTTGGCCTAACTTTATCCCCACTATGCTCAATCGAACTTGAAGACGAAGGTCGGAGACCGATTTTAGTTTTGCCTGAGTAACTGCAATAAACTTCGTACGCAGATTCAACTTGATTTGATTCGGCCGATGTTGAATCATCTTGGTCTGCTGGTTGTTTCAACGTACAACTCGAGCCATCAAAGCACGGTGTGCAAGATTTGGTGTTGACGCCAATACACGTTCCCATATTTTCAACGATTGGTCCAGATAAGAAAGTAACCAGGTAACGCATTTCGGCAGTATTTAGATGCTCGGAAGTTACGTTTTTAACAATAATCGTAGCAGCGATGGTAATGTAATCGTTACAACGCGAACTATCAAACTCGTTGGCAGCGAATAGTATGTTGTTATAAATTTTTTCGGCGACATACTCAACTTTGTGAACTGACACATTTTCATTTTTGTCCTCTACGTCTTCAAGAAAGGAACTGAATCTCAAAATAACTTCTTTCAAAATTTCGTTTGCATGAACATTGCCATTTAAATCTTTTTTTATGGAGTATCCCATTTTTAAATTTTCCTGTACACTTAGTGATACGCTGTGCTCTACTTGAGTCTGAGTGTCTACAGAATTCGTTTTCGCTTCATCTTGTAATGATTCTGGTTGGTGGTCGCAGCTCACGCTAGCTTCTGAAGGTACCATAGGTGCTTCATTAGAAATGGAGGAAGTAGCAATTAGAGATTCCGATGGAGTGGGTTCAGGATACAGTTCCTTCATCAAATCTTCTCTCTGTTTAGAGTTATAATATAAAGGAACCGTTGTATGCCTAATTTTGTTAATTTTACTAGCACGTCGCCTTTTCCAATTTTTTAAGCGTTCTGAAAGCGGTACAACCGGTTCTGCCACGTGCATTTTTTCAGCCTCAGCTAGAAGATAGGCTTTCTTTTTATCGGTTTGGTCACTTTTAAATTCCGTTAAAATCTTGTCGTAAAATATGAAAAATTCAGAGGCACCGGACCAGGTAATTTTCGGATTGGGTGTGAGTAAATCCCTCAAGGTTTTGTAAAATGGTAACAACGTAGGTGCACTTGGAAGCCCACGCAAGATTAGTCTTTTTGTATAAAATGTCTTGGCCTCTTCGCACTTATTTGCCTTCTGTTTGGTTAACGTTAAAGACTTCTCTTTGTAGGGAAGCATAAATTCGTAGTCCTTTGGTACATCAACCGAAGTTTCCAAAATGACCAATGAGGAATGTTTATCTTGTGAACTCTTTACAGTAACATGTTCATGCTTCTGTGCCATTAAGCGTTGATTTTCAAACGACATAGTGTCCCACAGTTTGCAACCATTTAAAGATCTTGTTAGCAGAAAAAGTTGCTGAAACTCAAATGGGCGGTGCATCTCACAACATTCTTTATTTCTTCCTCCTGCTTCATAATCTGTGTTCTTGTAACACCTGCCATCATAATTTACTACAAACTTCTTTCTAAAGCTGTCAACTGTTTTCAAAAGTTTAATTTTGCTTGAATTAAAAGCGCCCCTCTCCTTGTTAAAAAAAGGTCTAAGGTTCAAAGTCGTTGTACACTTCCCTAGACAGTTGTGGCATAATTGTGACTCCAACACTAATTTGTCGCATGTTATGTTGGCGGCGATTCGGTCATCGACTTGCATTTTGTATTCTCCCAAATCGGTCATGTTAATATTTATA